GACAGGACGAGGAGCGGTGGCCATTAACTAAAACGTAAGAACTTCCACCTCAGCATGAAGAAGAACCTCTTTCCACTGAGGGTGGCAGAGTGCTGGAACCGGCTGCCCGGGGAGGTCGTGGATTCTCCTTCTCTGTAGACATTCCAAACACACGTGGATGCGTTCCTATTTAACCTGCTCTGGGTGACCCTGCCTCGACAGGGGGCTTGGAGTAGATGCTCTCCAGAGGTCCCTTCCAACCCTAATTATTCTGTAACTCTGTGAAGTTTGTGCAGATCACTAGTTTTAGTATATTTATGTTTGAGGGGTGGAGGTCTTTGGCTGTTTCGTTTTGGTTTTCTAATTTTTTTTTCCCCTCCCAATCTATTATAGCCGTTCAGGCATTTATACACTGTGATTAACTAAAATGGCATCTTAAATCTAGTCTTCCAGCCTGTGCCCTTTGAAACCGAGACCCAGTCTAATTGTGCAGCCTGTTACCCCAAACAGGGAGGCTGCAGGTCTGCTTGGGTGCAAGGCTCCCACAGCCTGTTCTGTGTCAGCTTTAACTCACCTGTGTGAGAGCTGTGTGCTCGATGTATGGAAGAACTGGTGTCACTTAGGAGTGATTTGGAAATACAGTGACACTGGTCCAGCTTTAGCTGGTGAAAACATAGGTTCAGTTTTTAAATCTGCAAGCAGCCACCTTGCCTGCTTTATGAATCCTTTGAAACTCTGGTTACTTGAAACTGAATTTAGCTGTATCAGAGACAGCAGTACTTCACTTATTTTATGCTGGTTTTCTGTGTGGTTTTTTTTTTTTTAAGCAATAGGACTCGCTGTTCTAAAGCAGAAGCACATTAATGGCATTTGATGTGGGCCTCTTATGCTGAAGTTGACTAGTAGTGTTAAATCAACATGCTCCCTTTGCCTCAGTGTCTTACCATTGCAGTGAGTCTTACTGACCAGTTATGGTCTGAGAAAGAATTAAATCCTGTTTCTTACATGAATAGCTAAATTTTGAGGCCAATATCAGGAGCACAGACAAGCCACAGAGCTGTAAAAATGGTGAGATTTTTCCCCTGCTCAGTTATGTTCACCACAGTCTGTATGCTGCAGGCCACTGTTTCTGGGAGTGTTGGCACAACCATCACTGCTGACAGGAACAGGAAAGTGCAGGGAAGAGCAATTTTGCACTGTATGACTACACCAGTTCTTTGAGCACAGAAAAGCTGTAGAACTGGACTGCAGTATTAACTATCCACCCTGAGATTGGCAGCCCTTTCATTATGAATTACAGTTTGGTTTGTCACAACTGTCCTTTTAAACTAACTCAGATGTTTGCTGAGTCAAATTCTTGTTCATAGTAACCATACTCCAGCTTCTCACAGTCAGTGTTACTTGTTGAAGTCCTACCACTACAGTGCCAGCTCAGGCCATGATTACCAGGCCAGAAAGAAAATGCTGCAGCTTGCAACACTTGTTTCCAGAATGAGGAAACTGGTTTCCATATGCTTAAGAACCTTCAGCCCTGAAAATAACCCACTGTGAACAGTTCTGGTAAGATAACAATGTTGGTAATACAGAAAGATATGTTAAATCTACAGGGGGAAAAATGACTCATGTTAAAATAATTCCATCCCAAAAACCAAACTGCAAATACCCTTCATAATTTTCTGAAATTACCTCCCTGATGTTTCAACAGTGCATGTAGCTGCTGAAGAACTCAGATGGACAGATGGAATTAATGTTATGAGCTAGTCCACAGAACTGTAGACACTGGAAATGGTGCAGTGCATTGTGAGCAACTGAATATCTCCATGTTTAACCTGTGCCACCTCATTGTTCTTTGTGATGATATTCAAGGGCTTGATTAACTTCTTTACATGGATCTTGTAAATTTTTCTAATTCCAACTAATAGAACTTTGTTCATGGAGGAAACACAATAGAGGGAAGAAGTGAGTTGATGCCACTTGTGATATTTTAACTGTTTTGAACAATAGTGTTTCATGTAGTAATAACAATAATCAGAGAGAAGTGAACTCGCTGTCCAGATCCTGCTACTGGAAGAGGAAACATGCACACAGAATGTGTGTGGCTTAAAGGGCATAAAACACACTGCTTGTCACTATGCAGGGAATTAAAGTAACAGTTCATGTAACATTATGTAAAAAAAGTTCTAAAGAATCATCTGAGCTATAGTGTCTTAGCAATATTAAATATGTTTGTTCTTTATAATACTTTGATGCTATGCTACTGGCTTAATGTATTAAAGCATTAATATTTTAGTATAGAAGAAAGAGAAAGTTCTCTCTGAGAGGTGAAGGACTGAGATAATTAAACATGATACAACCTGCAGTCAGATCAAATCCTACTTACTACAACAAAGTTTACCTTTTATCACAGTGACATAATACAGAAATTGTAAAAGGACAGAGAGCAAGGGTTCAAGAGAAAGCAGGGAAAAAGTTCCTGTGTTCTATCCAGCTAGTTAGACTCAAGAAGGACCTGATGACTATGGAGTTTTGGATAATAAACTCTGAAATAAAAAGAACAACTAACTCTCTGAAACAGAACACAAACACATGACAGATGAAAACGAAAAGAGGTACTTTGCCTCTCTAAAGCATGCTTCAACCATTTCTAGTGATATTTCAAAATTCAGAAAACTTTGAGAAGGTGATGGCCTTTAGATAGATAATAGCAAATACTTAACTACACTGCATGTGACTTAATTGTATGTTATGGACTTATGTAGTAACTTATCGCTAGTCGTAGTATCTTTTATCTGAGTCTTTTTTATTACATCTTCCAAGTTTTTCTTTCTGTCAAATCAGTATATCAACACCTGGGGTCTTCTTGTTGCTGGTTGGGTCCTGCAGGGTCTCTGGGTGACTGGCCACCTTTCCTGGGGCTCCAGCCAGGGCACAATGCCCAGCTCACATGCAGAGCTGCTGGCACCAGGTGTGCTCCTCAACAAGTGCTTGCTATCAGCATGTCCATCTCTGCTGAGGTAGCTTGTTACTGTTCGGATTAAGGCTTCATGTAGTTAATTTTGTTCAGTAGAATTGCATTGCTGGAAAATGTTTGTGATGGTGTGCTGGTTTAAAGGTAAACCGGCAGGGGAAATGAACCCAACTCAAAAGAGAGATTATAAGTCAGAATAACAATTTAATAAAATGATACGATAAACACAATTATACAGACAAACAATTGGTTTTAACCCACAAAACCCAAATGTATAACCCAGCACCCTGGGGCATGAACAGAGTGGTGTTCTTTGGGCCCCCTGAGTCCAAAGTAAAGGGAGAGGGGAAAACCTGTTGGTGAGAGTGCTGATGCAGTCTGGTCAAGAGTGGTGGTCACAGTCCTCTGGATCCCACGAGTGGTTCAAAAAGTCCCAAGACTCCAAGATTGTATATCCTCAGGTTCAGGCAGGAGTGCCCAGTGCCTCCCTCACACGGGACATTCCCGCTCTCCGTGTCCCGGCGCCGCGCGCGCCTTCCCGCGGGGCGGGGGGCGACTGACACCTCGTGAATAACCGAGCGCGGCACCGCATTGGTCAGGAGCCGTGATTGACG